GCTTCCCAGGTGAGAACAAGTACGCAGGCCTTCTTTCTGTGAGGTTGCTGGCATTACGTGGCTCCAGAGTGTAGAAATCTAGAAAGCTCTAAGAATCGGAAGTTTTAAGTTTGGCACCAAAACTCATTTGACAGCAAAACGTGACTTGAGCTGATGTTGAAACTAACACTCTACCTGCTTACAGCGAATAATCCTGTGTGCTGTAGAAATATGTTTGATTATAAAATGCTACCCCAGATTGTCTAAACTTGGAAACTTTCTAAATTCCAAAATGCAGTCTGGGTTCAAAGTTTTTTATGAGAGATTGTGAACCTATGACCTATTAAAAATTGCTTGGCAATAAGCAGTGTACACCATGACCAAGTATGTTACTCCTTAACTTTCAGCAAACCAAGAGGTCTTAAATAAAGTTGAAGTTCAGTATAAGACTCTTCCAGGATGGAACACAGACATATCAAATGCAAGGACGTTTAAAGAACTACCTGTTAATGCACAAAATTATGTTCGATTTATTGAAGATGAACTTCAAATTCCAGGTATGTATAAACTTTATGAACAACTATCTTAACTTTTTCTACTTTTGACTTAACTGTCTACCTTTGAAATAGGATTAAAGATTATTACTCATAGAGTGCTTATGGTTTGCATAGATGCCTAGGAAGACATAAAATACTTTTGTTCCTTAGAATAAATATAATGAAAATAGGAAATATAGTTTGTAAAAACATAAGAATAAAGAATAAAACTTCTTTATTAAAAAACAAATGTAAGCTGGCCAGGGAATTAGGCATAACCAAGTTTTTTCAGTGACTAGTTATGTGATGTCTTTCTTTTAACGCTTTGCTTTTTCCCTTCTGTTTGCACTGATGGAGATTTGAGAGACAGAAAATGAAGTGGGGGCGGGGGTTATCCTCCATATAATCTATTATTATTCTGATTTTGTATTGTGTTTCATTTTATTTGTGGTTCATCTCAAACATGGATCTTGGTTTCCATATTGCCAGCTGCTTGATGTCCAAGTCAGTGAACTCCTCTTAGTATTTTTTGAAATATAAACAACAGTGAACTTAACAATGATGTCTGTGATGTGCCCTAAGGTTTACTCGTGAGGTGCAGATGATGAGAGATGTGATGTCCATAGGCTGGCATGGTAGGCGCGTCCTAAGGCTGTGCACGTTAAAACGGCATTCTCTTCCCGATGTTCCTACTTTTATGAAATGTAAAGGTTCCAGTGACACCAGCACCCTCTTAGCATCATCCACGCATCAAAGGTGCTTATCCTGTCTAGTTATTTAGGAGGCTGATCAAAGGTTCTTTAGGTCTCTGCTGGCTTGGGCCCATTTTTTTTCATCCTAATTATTAGGAATTGAGGAATTGTAAGTATCATGCAATTAAATCAGGAATGGGAGGCGACGACTCTGTGCTGGGTCTCAGCCCCACGTCGCCGTGGTTTAGGAGTCGGCACAGTCGGTAACAGATAGAACAACAGGTAACAGAGGCACACATGGCAACGTTAATGGGTGACAATGAGAAAAGTGGGGGATCTGTTAATTTCAAAGATTGAACATTATAAATGAATTAATACCTTGTACCTTTTCTCTTCCCCTCCCAGTTAAATGGATTGGCGTAGGGAAATCCAGAGAGTCTATGATTCAGCTCTTCTAAGGATTTCCAGTGATGCAAGCAACACTCCTTGAGAGAGGGGAGAAAGGACTTCAATATGTCATTTATGTTCTCCAAATTTCAAGTGTGAAGACATTGACGTGAGTTCTAAGCCCAACCGTTGTTTCCAGTCTCTTACGGTGGAGGCTGGTGTGCGGATAAGCTTTTCGGCATGTTCCAGTGTCAGCTTCCTTAGCTGTCAGAATCGCCGGAATCATCTGTTGCTCCTGCTGCTCATGGTGCCACATCTTCTTTATGTTTAGTGATAGTATAATCCATGTGGTTTGAAATCTAAAATAGAATTACTTTCAATGTAGTTTTTCTTCCTTATTGTCAATGTGCGTTCATAGGTTTTACCTCTATTAAATGGTAAGAACAATTAATGCAGTTTTGCACAAATATTTTTACATTCTGATCATTCAGTTATTGTAATCTTTGCTCTTAGGAAAAATGATAAGAGGGGAGTTCTGTAAACCTTTGTAATGCTATAAATTCTGTTTAAATTGTGAACTGTTTATTTTCTGCTAAGACCGTTGCAAATTTGAGCTTTGGCGGGGGTGGGGGGATATATTCATGGGTCCTTTAATTTGTACAGAACACAAAACTTATTTCTCTCTATAAATTATTTAATACATTGAGCATTTAATTAAATGTTCAAAGGGAAAAGATGTTCCCTAAAACAATACTCCTAATGTTAAAAAATAGTCATTAAAAGATCTATTGTGATATTTGGTGAATATTTTTCTTTAACTCTGAAATGTATAGCTTTCCTATTTTATCTTACCATTATTTCTAAATCTAGTGGATTGATTTTTCAGCATTGTGCCTGCCAGTATGCCTACAAAATCATCTGTAAGTGTCCAAATGAACTCAAACTCTTGCTCATGCCTTTATTTCTCTTTCCTTGGGGAAAAAAGAGGTGTTATTTTAACAATTAGGCTTAACATATTGTGTTGTAGATTATCCTTCAGTGAACTATTTTAAATGTTTAAATTAGGTGCCACTTAAATTTATTTTATTATACCATCAATAGCTGATTAAAAAGAACCAGATATTTCTAGTATACTTTGTGTATTGTGTTTTTGTTCTGCTGAGAGAAATAACTGTAATACTGATATACATATAAGAAGGAACTTTATCCCTGCAGAATGTCAGGATAGGGTGGGAAGAGATCAAAAGCAGAATCTTTGAAAACATCTAAATATTTTTTATCTTCACTGGACATATTTTTATTAACAGTTCAAGGAAAAATTTAAAATTAGAGCAGCATTGTTGAATTCAGTAAATAATAGTACAGATGATCTTATAAGCCCTCTACTGATCAATAATGATCTTCATCTAAAAATAATAATTTATATTTAATATATAATAAATAATTTTTATTTATTCTAATGGGAGTTGAATAGGATTTTATTCCTTTTACTCTTTCATCTTCCTACTTGGACTTTAGCCACCCAGAAGCAAGCATGGGAAAGACCACATTCTTATCTGGCTATAAGCATAGCCTTATTGAGACATTTTTAGCACTGGCCCAAAAGCACTTATAAAGAACCCATTCTTTGAGTCAGGAGTGCTCCTATTTTTTTTTTGTAATCAAAAAATGTAACTTTCCTATTGTTTGCTATTTACTCATTTTGGACCAGTTTGAGTGATTCTCTCTCATTTCTCTTGATGAGCTGTTTGCTGATTAAATTGACTAAGAGAGAAGGTATGTTTTTCAGATACAATTCGGTCTTTAAAATAATAAGGGACTGTATTAAACTAATAAATCTTTATTGAGCAAGTATATACAGGAGTCTCCCCTTTATTCATAGGGGATGTGTTCTGAGACCCTCGTGGGTGCATGAAGCCACAGGTAGTACCAAACCCTACATGTATTATATTTTTTTCCTATACATACAGAGCTATGGGCAAGTTTAGTTTACATGTTCGGCACAGGAAGAGATCAACAATAACTAATAATAGAACAGGATGATCATAACAATATACCGCATTGAGATTTATGTGAGCGTGGGCTCCGTCACCAACTATCTTACTGTACTGCACCCACCTTGGCCTCCTTGCGACAATGTGAGAACACGGAGCCTATGCGATGAGATGAAGTGAGGAGGAGACGCTGGCCTAAGGGCTGACTTCCGGGATGGAGTGGGGTCGTGAGAGGTTTCATCACAGCGCCAGAACGGCATGCAATGTAACAACCTAGGAATTGTTTATTTCTGGAATTTTCCATGTAATATTTTCAGACCACAGCTGACTGTGGGAAACTGACACTGCAGAAAGTGAAACTGTGAGTGAGTAAGGGGGGCGTCTACTGTAAGCTGGGTTCCGCTAGACGGAGGTGCTTTTGACAAGGACACAGTCTTCCTGAAATGCACTGTAGCTTAGATGGCATGTTAAACGTGGGTAAGGGATGTTATGTGCTACAGTGGAAACATACAGGCTGTTATGAAGGAGAACGTAACCTAAATTTGGGGACGGTCAGAGAAGGCCTTTAGTAGAATACACTGAAACAGTCGAGAAGGAGCCCTGGTTGGGGAGCTCAGTTGGTCAGAGTGTTCCCCCACAGGCGAAGGTTGCAGGTTCGATCCCCGGCTAGGACACATACAAGAATCAAACAACGAATGCATACATAAGTGGAATAACAAATCAATGTTTCCCTCTCCCTCTTTCATCAATAAATAAAAATTAAAAAAAATTAAAAAAAGGAAACAGTCCAAAAGGATGCATAGTCAGAGGGACATGACATCAAGACCCAGAGGCTGGAAAAAACTGGGAAAATTGAGGCAACTGAACAAAATGAGTGAGGGACTAGTGAGGCTGATGTATGGCAAGAAATTGGCTGCAGACTAAACCCAACAGCTAAATCTGTTTCGTGTGGAAGGAGAGGACTAGGCCAAAGCGTGAGACATGGGCTCAAGGAGGCATAATGAGAGCACAGGAAAATGCTGAAACCAGAAACACACACTCTAACTTCCAAAGTTCTGGATTGCAGGACAAGGTATTTCAAAGGGGAGAGGAGGGCCTATTTCATATATGAATTGTTGGCTTTATTTCTCTTTATTTCTTGACACCGGCCTCGTGTCTCCCTGCAGCCCAGAGCCGTATCTGGGTGTCTGTGCCCAGGGCGCCCGCAGAGCCTTCCTCCTGGGCCACAGCCCCAAGAGCTTTTCTGTTTTGTCTCTTTCTCTCAACAGTGATGCAGTTATTGAACAGACACAGTTATACTCTTATGCTGCCACGCAAACCATTGGACTGAGTGCCCGACGGTTTACTAGCCCCGGCAGTAGGACTAGTACTGGGGCTGAGAACAGGTAACGAGTCTCTTCCGGCTCGGTCTTCATTCCCTGCCCCAGGTCAACGAACTTAATCTGCAAAGAATTTGCAATTTATGCAAATATTTTAGGGTGGGAGCCATCTGGATACACACTTAAATTAAAAGCAGTTCTGCTATCATCATTTTAATCGAAAGAGTCACCTAAGGATGCCACATGTTTTGTTGGGTCGCCACAGTAACTCGGTTTGAAAGCTGTCACGTCAGCACCACCTCTTTCGGTGACAGCAGAACTCTGGCAGCGACGCAGCAAGTGGTCTAGGATTCGACGAGACCGTGGCTAATTTCTGGTCCCAATCTGGAATGAAACAAATGAATCATTTATTTTAAGACTCTTCTAAATTTTAACCCACTGTCATTTCAACAATTGTGTATGATAACAAAAGAATGGATGGGATTTACGAGAAAGGAATATGATGTAAAGGTATGAAAAAAAGGTTAGTCGAAAGGTGTGGCTCAATCTCTGATTCATATTTATTGAATTATGCAAAAATATAAATAAAATAAATCACATAAATTCTAGACACCCCCCCCCAAAAACCCTTTAAGCGTTACATTTTAAATGAGCCACTTTGCATCCTCTCTGTATCAAACTGCAGTCGTTACCATCCCTAAGTTCATACCCACTGGAGTTCTGTCATATTTTATATCCTCGTTTGTACTGCTAGCAGTTCTGCTTATCAAAACTGCAGGGTTCAAGGAGTGTTTGCGTCGATCACAATGATCATGCTACACCCAAGACCAAACCGTTTCTATGACAACATTGTAACAGAACGTTACATGTACACCGCCGTGCCCTGTATTGGGTGTTTTGCTTACATTAACTGTAATGTTCTCAGTAACCCTGGGAGGCCCACTGACATTACCATCACCTCAAAGAGAGGAACTGATTTGCCCAAATTTACTGGACTGGGAAGAGGAGGGGCCCACATCTGACCCAGGATTATCAAGCCTCTAAATCCCTAATCTGTTCACAGTTCTACTCCACCTCCCATAGCACTTCAAAAGCATCTAAAGAAATAAGCATTTCTTGATATGAAGAATGCATAACATTTCATTAACCCAGGGAGTATGACCAGAAATACCATCTCGGGAGGATTTTTAAAATCCCTTTTAATTGCATGACCCTCTATGTTGCCATTAGTAACCACACAACTTCTCAAGGCTTGTTGCAGATTTAATTAAACAGCAACTCTGACCTTGAGGATTACGGAGGATTCCAGGGAAATACAATAAAGTAGCTTAGAAGTGAGAGGAATCCTGCCCAACAGCCTTAGTGACCCTCATTGTAGGAGTTACAATGGAGCTGAATTATACCCATATTTAACCAGGAGAACTCAACGGTAAAGGTTCTCAGAACACACGACAAACTCGGGGCTGAGGGTTCCTTCGGACACTCTGTTTAGTGAGTATATATGCCTGCAGACTGTGGGTGCTATCAAGCCTGAAATACATTATACAGGTTTGGGGGTGGAAAGAACGTGTGAAATGATTTTTTAAAAATCCCCTTATCATTTGACAAAGTGAAATTACCATTCATGTGGATTTGTGGTGGTGACTTCTCTGAAAGTCGTTGAAAAATAAAATGAATGAATTGAGAACCATGGAGAAAACTCAGCCCATTTGCTGAGAAATCCCATGTATTCTAAAGACTTTAATGATTTATTATCATTTAATGTTACCACTTTGAACATTTAAGAGATTTTTCAAGGATAACTTTGATTATATGTGATAATTACCTTATGCATTCATTTTAGAACTTAATCCCAGTATACAATGCAATTCTGTTGTTTTAGGTTTCTTAAAAATATATTTATTATGACACATTCATTCTTGATCAAGAATAACAGCAAACATTTTTGAAGGTTTAGTCATTGTAAGCTTCAGTAATTCTAAATTATTTATATGAATATCTCAATTGTACAAGGCACATAGCTGTTTTTATTCTTTCTGCAAGTGAGAAAACCGAAGGTCAAAGAATATAAGGGTCACATTGCTACAAGTGCAAAATAAAACTATTTTGGAAGAGTGAGTTGTTTGAATTATTTGGCACCAGGGTTAGTGATACAAGGGCAGCTTCATATGAGGGGCAGCTTCATATGAGGGGCCGCCTAGGGTGTGAGTTCCCAGAGAACGGTCTTCCTATCTTCCGCTGTGTCTCACAGAGTCGGGGCTTAATAAATGCTTCCCAAATCAATAGATGAGTCCGTAGGTGCCTAGAAAGAATTTCTTAACCAATCACCACGATAATAATAATATATGATGTTATAATATGATTGTATTATATATAAAATAATATTATAATCTATGTTATGGTCTATAGATTATAATAATCTATAATCTGTTCAACAATTCCCAAATAAGAACTGAACATAAAAAGCAAGTCATTGCTCATCTAGACATGCTTTGTCCTTACACCTGATCGCAAAGATTAGTCAAAAGCTTACACCTTCATAAACTTAATAGTAAAGCCCTTCTAGAGACTCCAAGGAGTCAGCTTCTTGATTTAAACAAATGCTTAGTTCGGTCCCTGCTCTTTTCTCTGTCCATGCCCAGACTGGTAACATTTCTCTGTTAAGTCTCTGGCGGACCCTGCTCCCACCGACTGGTTGCTAAACTTGGCTGCGCGGTGGAATTACCTGGGGAGTTCTAGAAATTACGGATGCCTGTGTCCGCCCCAGCCCCGCCCGCCCGCCCCCCAGGAGAGTCTCACTGAATCCATACGGGGTACGTCCTGCCTGGGCGTGTGGGTTTTTAAAAGTGAAGGCGCGGAGGGCGAGAACCTTTAGCCTGACCACGGCCATTGCCTCCTGCCTCCGCACCCAACCTGGTCTCGCTCCGCTCCCCCGTGCCCCCCCTTTCTCCTCCACAGTTTTAATCCTGCCCGCTCCACTTGCCTTCAAACCTTTCAGTAGTTTTCCATTAACCTCAGACAGGAGGCCCAAACCTGAAAATGGCCTGGAAAGCCCTTGACCTTGCCAGCTCCGGCCACACCCTGCTCCGCCCTCGCTGATTGCGGGAGCCAGCAGGCTCTTATTGTTATTTCTGTTTAGTTCTTTCGCGTGCTCCTCTCGGGGGGCCCCTGCGCGCCCACCCTGGCCTCGGCTGCCTCAGGGAGCCCGGGACCTCTCAGGCCGACTCGGCCCCAGGGCTTCTACGGCCGCCGAAATGTATTTCTGCGCTGCCTCCCGGCGAAGCGCCCTGCACGGAGCCGTTTCGTGTCTGCCAGACCCTGGCACACGGACTGGCCTGCAGGCAGGCTTTCGTTCTTCACGGAAGGACTACGGAGGAAGGAACACAGATGCGCTCGACATCAAGTCTATCATTGAGGCCAACGGCTGTCGCCTCCAGAATCCGCCTGGAATCCATTCCTTCCTGTCCGTCTTCCCTGCGGGGCCCAGCGCCATCATCTCTGGTCTGAACGACGAAAGGGCTTCCTGGCGCGGCGCGTGGCCTCCCTCCTGTTCCTCTGCAAACAGCGTCTGACCAAGCAGCGGGGGGCGACAGACACATCGTGTCTCTGCTCAAAACCCCTCCCCTTGATCCGAGAAGAGAATCCGAGCACCGTGCCCGTGCCGTCCCCGACCGCCCGCCACGCCACCCTGACCTCCTCTCTCCCCTTACACAAGCCAACCCCCCCCCAGCTCTCAAGCTTCCACCCTAACCGTTCCTCTTGCCTTTGGCGGTTCCGTCTTCCTTCCCGGGGCTCAGCGGAGGTAGCAGGGAGGCCCTCCTGACGGCACTGGGAGAAGCTCCCTCCCGGCCCTGCGCTGCGTGACTCGGCTGGTTGCGCGCCGGTCCACCGAGGGAAAGGTCACCGGTTCGACTGCCCGAGGGGGCCAGGTCTCCGGTCAGGGGCACCTGCGAGAGGCAGCCGACCGACGCTTCTCTCTCACATTAGTGCTTCTCTCCCTCTTTTTCTCCCTCCCTTCCTCTTTCTCTAAATATTAACAAATAAAAACAATTTTTTAAAAAAGTTACCTCCCTAAACCATGCTCATCGCCTTGCGCAGTTCCCATACAGCCCCACTACCATCTCTAATTTCTTAAAAAATGTTCTTGGTTCTGTTCAATGTGTCCCACCAGAGCGCCAGCTCCAGGGCAGCAGCTGGCTTGTCTCCCCGGGTCCCTGGACCCCCAGCAGGCGGCCCAGCGTCCAGATCCTCACGGGGGCATCCCACCGTGACCGGACGGTTGCCAGTTTCCAAGGTGGCCGCCCCGATTCTCGCGCCCGGTGTCCGGGCCTTGTGCAGTCCGCGTTCACACCGCTTCCCGGCTGGCTGTGCGCCTTCCTCCGGTCCAGGCATTTCCTACTCCGCCGACGTGCATCTCACTTCCCATCTCCGCCTTCTGCCTCGCCCCGCAGGCCGCTGTCCTCAACGCTGGAGTCCGCCCGGCTCCCCGTACCTCACCATCCTTACTCCCACCCATGCGTCTAGTTGCATTGTCCCCATGAGCGGTGCCCCCGTTTCTTCTCCACCAGGCACACCGTACCTGTCAGGCCCAGCTCGGTCCCCGCGGGTGCCTGCTGCTCCCCCGGCTGTTGTGTCGCAGGCCCCAGTGATCTCAGCTGTGAACCTTTTTCCCCTACTTGGTGCTTAACTGTCCTCTGATGAGCCCATGGCTGCCTCACCTTCCCGATTAGAAGGTGAGCTCCCTGGGGCCAAGGTCATGGCCTGGACTTCCCTCCGCCTCCTCCCGTGGCACCTGGCCCAATGCCAGGGGCATAGTAGAGGGTAAATATTTAACTGCTTTGCTAACCATTCACCTGGTTCTATAGGTTTGGAAAGAATTATAAGGAAGGGAAAAACCTTTTGTGTCCGTCTTTCTAACAAGACTTCCTCCTAGTAGAGGAAGAACGGTCCGGTTTACTATCTATCACTTTGGAAACCAGAGACCCGCGTAGATGCTCCCATTTCAAGGATGCAGATTTCACGCTGGGTCAGGGTTGAAAAGACAAACCACGGAGCCTGTCCTGTGGGGACAGGAGCTCTCCAGGGAGCGGCCCTGCCCACCTCTCTCCTTTCCACCTGCTCCTCAGCCCTGGCAGCTTCTGTTCTCCCAAACCTCATACCTCCTTCCTCCACACCTCCACCCACACCCCACCCCAGCTTCTAGGACGGCCACCTTCCTGAGGCCTCCGATGGGACCCCAACTGCTACCACCCTGCACCTCTTCCCAGGATCTCCTTCCCCAAACGACGCAGACCCCAGCCTCCTCCCCACCCCCGAGCCGCTCCCTCCATCACCTCCCAGAACCCAGCTTGGCCCTCTTATCCCAAACTCTGCTGGCCAATCGCCGTCCCCAACGCAGCTTCGTCTATTGCCACCCCGGTCCCTTCCCAGTTCCCCCAACTCTGCCTGGTCCTGTTCTGTTCCTCCTCTTCCTAATAGCTGTTGTTTGTGCCCCCCCCCGACCCCGGGACCTGAGTCCCGGCCCCGCACTGGCATCCGTCAGGGGCTGAGATCTTTTCTCAGGCAACAAAAGAAGGAAGAGAAGTTCCTTCTCAAACTCCCCTTCCTTCTAGAAGTTTTTTTAATTTTTTAAAAGTGAATAGAAAGTGATTAAATAAAATTACTAGCCAAATAGTAGTACACGAGACTCTCAGTTGTGACAGAGGTCATCTTGTTTCAAGGTCAAGTGCAGAGCTTGGCCTGTGTCTGAATTCTGGGTCTGAGATGTCCTGGGTCTGCATCCTGCTCCTCCGGCCCATTGCCCGGTCCCTTATCCCGCTGGCACATTGTGCTGCGCAGAGAAGTGCTACATAGGGAATTTAGAATTTTTAAAGATGTTGCCAAATGTCAAATCATGGCCATAAAACCATTTAAAATAGGAGAGTGAGGAAATCAAGTTTCCTCAACAATATGTGAGGAGCAAGCAGACTTGCACCTGCTTTCTACCAAGGACGGTTATGCATTTTCATTCTTGAAGTCGGCACAGGGAGCTAGGAAAGGAGGAAGCAGCCCTTGGGACCGTCTTCTAGAGTCTTCATGTGCCTGGACACATACATGCCCACGCTTGCCCCTCCCCCGATCTTGACTGGTCCCAGACACGGTTGCTTCTCTGTGACCCAGGCAAGGTTGACTTCAAAGAATAACAGCATGACCTGACTTACCAATCTTGTAAAACGGGAGAGAATAGTCTCTTTGGTAAGTGGTTTCTTTATACCACGGTTCGGCAGGCTTTGAATGTCTTCGGAAACAAATATACCGAATGAGGGTTTGCTGGTCTAGTTGAGGCTGACATTGACTTCTTCTCTCGGGAGGAATTGCCAAGTCTGTGAGGGGTCTAAGTGAAAATAGAAAGAGCTTGCTGAACACCCTGTTGAAGAAAAGCATTCCATTTTCTCATCGGCTGAAATCCATTCCCACCAAGTAGCCAGGAGGCTACCAAGACAGTGTTGGCCAAACTCCCAGGTCCAGGGCCAGCCCTACCCGAGTTGTCAGGAGGTGGCTCAGGGATCCATTCCCTGTTCCTCCTTTGCAGCCCTCTCCTCTCTCAGCCTGCACCTAATCTTCCACTGGGTCTGCTCCCCGTACCCTCGGTCTTCCCCATGCCCTTTCCTACTGAAATTTTTCTCTGCTGTCTTGTTCCTCAAGGAACCAATGCTTTCTTTTGAGCAGACCAACCACTCTGGTGCATACTGGTGTCTGATGAACCTGGGATCAGTTGTAACTGTCTTGTACCCCGACTCAGATGAACACCCCGTGAGAGTGAAAGTAAAGAAGAACTAAAATGTAATGTGAAATAGCTCTGTGCACATATACATCCACTGTGCAACTCGTTTGAGGACAATTGGAGATGGCTGTTACTACCTTCAAAATGTACATATGTTTTGTCCCAGCAACTCCAGAAATTAGGGATGTCGACAAAGACAGCTCTAACAGTGCTCATCAAATATTTCCATGACAATAAAAGGAGTGGAAACAATCTTCATGGGAAAAAAACACTCAAATTACTTAGAAAATGATACATATACAGGGATACTGTGCCAACGTTAAAAGTGATGCTATAGAAATATGTACTACATCTTCTTTATCCATTCACCTGTCAATGGATATAAATAGATATTAAAAAGTATGAAATACTATTCAGCCATAAAAAGGAGAAAATTCTGCCATTTGTGACAACTTGGATGGACTTTGAGGGCATTATGGTAAGTGAAATAAGTAAAAGACAGATACTGTATGATTGCACTTATATGTGGAACCTAAAAACATCAAGTTCATAGGAACAGAGAATAAAATAGTAGTTGCCAGAGGTAGAGTTGGGGGTGAAGAAGCTGTTAAGAGAGTATATCTTAAAACTTTTCATGACAAGAAAGATAATTTGTAGTTATATGAGGTGACGAATATTAACTAAACTCATTATGGCATATATATCAAATCATTGTTATATACCTTAAACTAATACAATGTAATATGTCAACTATATCTCAATAAAACTGGAAAAAAGGAGTTTCAAAATCCTATCACATCCTATTTTATGTAGATCTGGAAGATTCTGCATGATTATCTGTCTCCAGGTGAGGACATTATAAGTGTTTTTCAGTTTTTAATTTTTTGATTATAAATGTTTTCTAAATATTTTAATAAATGTGTATTTTTAAATTATAAAATAGATGAGGTGAGCTTTAGAATAGGTGTAAAAATAGTCAATGTTGGGGAGCTTTAGGAACATCAGAATCCAATCATTTGGTAGTAAGACATAGTCTTGCTTGGCGGTATCACCGTGATTCTTACTTAAACGAGGTGACTGAAACTGCTTAGTCAGAACACATGATGTTTACACACTTGGGTAAACGCTTGATTGTAACGAGCCTTCTTTAAAGAGAGGACATTAGCAGCCGTGGAGTAGCTTGACTAAAGTTCAGAAAAAGCAAGAACATAATCCGACCATATGTGTGCCGTTTAGGGGGGAACAGGCGCTGGGTGGGGAGACATGGGGAAGCACCAGGAATTCCCACCCACTTCTTCTACTTTATCTTATTTCATGCTTAATAGGTACTTGGTCCTTTCAAGTGGCTGTGTTTAAATGGTGGGCGGGAACACTCCTTTCCTTACAAAAGCTTGGCTCCCATTGTCAATCAAAACAGGAGTTGTCTGATGGACTTGCCAGTAGAATCTTGTGAGTTTGGGTTCTGTGTGGCCTTCATTATCAGTCTAGTCACTTCTGTGCTCACTGCTTGCTTCTGAGCCAGATCCTGCTGATCGCTGTTAAAGCTAATCCTGCTGCATTTGCTGATAGAGCTAATCCTGCTAGACTGCCTTTGCTTTGGGTGTTTCCGTGGAACCAGAATATTCTCCATTGGTGTCCTTCTGAAGACAGGACTTTCCCTCAAAGGAGAGTCTCTAATCCTGAACAAATTATGTTGGTAGAGGAATGTATCTGGAGAGAGTAAGCCACCAGGGACCTATCAAGTTTTATACCATGACTACAAAAACTGAAGTTAGGATTGGTTCAAAGAACTGCATTGTATTCTGTTTTTTGAATTAAAAAAAAATTATTTTTGGCTTTGCTTTTCCTTGTTATTCTTCCCTAGAGTTCTTAATAAAGCCATTGATAGACATTTGCACTCAGTTTTCCCTTGAGGCTAATCCTGGGCAGGCACGAGTCTCATCAGAGCCGAAACAGTAGGTCAAGCTTCCCTTTGGCTGAGCCGTCCTGCGGTGGGAGGGCTGACGTTTGGGTGCAAGGTGGGGAGTTGGGGGGATCGCCGGAATCCACAGAACCCACGTGGACGGTGCCCTGTGGAGCTGGCTGTGAGCGGCCTGGCAGTGGGGGTCTGTCCCCTCCTTTCTTGTCTGCCCTCTGGCAGAGTACATATTTGAGTTGAAACAAAGGGCTTTGAACTGGAAATCAGAAAATGTGGGTTGACTCCAGTCCCTGCTTTTACACTAACCAGCTGGACCTCAAGCGAGATGTGTTGCTCCCCTGGGCTGCATCTTACTCATCTACTTGGACCAGAATGACCTTTAGAACTACTTCCAGTTTGGTCATCTATTCAATGTGGACTCTACGCTGCTTTACAGATGCCATGGCTCCCTTATCTTTATTTACATGGAGGATAACCAGGAGTTGACTATATTGAACCCAATTAAGAGAGAAAGGGAAATTTGTAAATATACCAGATAAACTCAAAGTAATAGCAATCATATGTTCAGTGCCTACTATGCTCTGGGATCTTATATCAATTTATTTTGTTTAACAGATAAGAAAACTGAGACCCAGAGAAGGGATGAAAATTGTCCAAGATCAAACATTTCCTAAGTTACTCAAATTGCTACTTATAACTACTGTGGTTTCCAGTCTCTGCAAACTAGAATACAGCATTGAAGTACCTTTGTTTTTGTTAAAATTACATCCATAAAGGCAGAAACCATTTAGGCCAAATTTGTGATTTTACTGAGAAGGAAATGGAGACTCAGAAAGGTTAACTTATTTGGCTAAGTTGGAACTCAAAACTCGTGATGTTTAAATGTCTTAGATAATTTAATAAACACCCACATTGAGTGCTGATTATAAGAAAAATATATGTTCTTTAGAGAAAATCTGGACAATAAACAAAAAAAAAAATGCAAATACCAATAATCTCACCACTCACAAGTAAGTTAATTTAGTGTATTACCTTTTAAACTTTTTGTGTTCATTACATAATAATTATTATTGTTCTCATTTGTATTATTAGAAAATGTGATTCCTATTTTAAAAAATTGATCATTCTAACTTTAGTGTAATTTTTGAGAATGAAGACTTCGGGAGGAGTCTCACCTGGGAGGTTTCTTCGCACTGTAGTCAAGATGGACCCTCAGCAGCTGCGCAGGGAGGTAGCCCTGCAGGTCCTTCCCTTGGCGGCCAATGAACACGCTGGCGGAGGAGGAAAGGGGTGGGGAAGAGCAACGATTACAATTCATTCTGTACAAAAGAACACCGGCTGCGGTCTTTGGTCTTTGTCCCCACTGCCTGGCACAGCACCCCTTGGATTTCTTTTTCCACTTTTAATGAATCAATTTATGTTTTGTTTCAAGATGTACTTTTATCTATTTATTTCCATTACAGGTGACATTAAATGTTATATTACTTTCAGGCGTCTAGCATAGTGATTAGACATTTATATAAGTTATGAAATGATCTCCCCGATAAGCCCAGGACCCACTGGGCACCACTCATAGTTACTACAATGTTATTGACTATATTCCTTTTGCTGAATACTCTCGGACCTTCTTCATAGGAGTGCCTTTTTCATCCATTTTTCAGGATTCAATTTTCAGGAATCATAAGGAAATATTTGACAGTTCAGGTATGAAGTTCAAAATATCAGGAAAAAAATAAAAAGATGGTTTTTAAAACCAGTGGGGCAAATGTCGAAAATTGTTGAAAAGTGGGAATTGAAAAATGGGGGGTGTCTTAAAGAAAAGAAAAATGGGGGTTTCTTATACTATTTTTTCTACTTTGGATATATTTACGAATTTTCACAAGTTATTTTTTTTTTTAAAAAGCAATCTGCTCATTTTAAGCATATTGGGGCTAAAAATGAAGAAACACTGCGATGGCCTTGTGAGTCGAAAGGGCTGGGTCGGGAGGAAGGCGTGACGCGCAAACCAGAACCATCAGGTGAAGAAGGGCCGGAAGCGCTTCCGGGGCATGATGGGCGGCCGGGTGCGCAGGGCGGAAACGCAGCCGCGCGGGGAGAGGGGGCTGGGGGAGGGGCGCCCAGGCCTTACGTTTTGAAATACGTCTCATTTTAGGATGAATTACTCTTCCTTTTAGATTGTAGTTGTGCGTTCTACGGACGTTTTAAAACTATGTGTACTTGCCTTCTGTTATTTATAGATTTTATGTCGAAGAGCGGTAGGGACACTCACGAAATATTTGTTATATAAAAAAGGGACTGTTGCATCTGAACTGTTGACAAGCACCAATGTAGGTGATAGGGAATCTTTGTAGGATTTTTTTTCTTTTGGGTAAATATTTTATTTATTCATTTTTAGAGAGAGGAGAAGGCAGAGAGAAAGAGAGGGAGAGCAACACTGACGTGTGAGGGAAACATCATTAGGCTGCCTCTCGCCCTCCCCCAACCAGGGACCTGGCCCGCAACCCAGGCATGTGCCCCGACTGGCAATCAAACCAATGACCTTTTGATTCACAGGCCAGCACTCAATCTACTGGGCCACACTGGTCAGAGTTATAGGATATTTTTAAAGATAAATGACATAAGACAAGTTTTATTTTAGAACGGTTTCTGCAGGTGGTGGAGGAAAACAAATTCGAGGACAATCTGACTCGAAGTAGAAAGACGGGTTAGGAGACGATTAGAGTGACTGAGGTGAGACACGGCAGAGCTGTGAGCTCTGTGTTGGGGAGGGTGGGGGGAGGGCTGAGGGAAAGGATGGGGAGCTGGGGTGCCAAGACAAGCATAGGCTTCAGGCACCGGGGAGAATGCTGCCGTCCCCAAGAGAGGGCACACAGGAAGACGGCATTGTAGGGAGGATGACTTTGTAGAATGTGTGACATGTGCGGTGTTTTGAGACCCCCTGCAGATTTTGAGCACTCAGTGGGCGCCGTAAGGATTCAAGAGGGAGAGTCAGCGGAAGGCAGCGCACAGGTTTGCATGAAGTAGCTCACCAGTACGTGTTGGATAATAAATGGAAACTTAAACTATGCCTCCAGCCCAAACTTCCTGTATCGAATGCATACAATCTACCCTGTGCTCCCTGCGAGGTTCTGGCTGACTCAGAAGCAGTTCTTGTCCTCAACATGCTCACTATGTGTTGAAATCGTGATCTAAATAAAGGTCAATGGATTGAGAAGAGAGCCAGGTGTCTAGGGTTTGGACAGGCAAATAGGATGGCGAAGAGGTGCCAGCTGAGGGCAATTTCAGAAGTCAAGACTTGCACAGACTGACGATCAGAGCGGAGCGTGTGGGGACCAATAAGTCCTGGCTGTTTACTGGTATGAAAGGCAAGTGCTGTGAGCAGGGCGCGTCTGTTTGTCTATGCTCGCAGGACCTCAGGGAGCTCCGATTTTCAGAAAACCCACAGGCTGTCTGGGCCTGTCCAGTGGTTGGGATAATATGACCGAGCCCTGGATAGTAAATAACATGGGGGGGTTAAGTCATAAGAAGAGAGAGGAACTGGCACAGTAATAGGGAACAAATGACATGTCTGAATGCACGGGCGTGGACACCTCGCTTTCTTAGGCGCCCGTCCAGTTTCTGGAGCACTGTTGTTGCAATGGGTACCCCAGGGCCATGCTGCAGTGCATTCGACTCCAACAGATATTTCCAAAACGGCGCTGGCTTCTCACGGTTGCTAGGCTATTTGTCCAAACACCGCCTAGACCACGGATTCTTCAGTAGGGTGCACACAACAAACACCTGCTGAATAGAGGCAGTAACCTCGCACTGCTCCTTATGAGACGTCTGTACGAGCTGTTTTGAGGATGGAAGAACCTTTCACCAGCACCACCATCCGTCCCTTGGGAGAGTCTCTTGGCAGGTTTTGGCTCCAGAACAGAGAGTGGGGCGTGTTTAAGCAGGTGGGGGGCTGGCCAGGGAAGCAGGTCTGGGGAATGAAGAACGGCGCACTTCGCCTCCGACTCCGACTTTCCAGCCTCTCCTATGTGGCCTTCACCTCGTTGGGAAGAAGGCTTCCAACGAAGAGGTTTTTGGAAGAGAACTTTTATGTCCTAAGCGGGAATGTCAGTCAGCCCCCGCCCTCTCCCAAGGTGGAGCGGATGTGGCCAAAATGGTGAATGACTAGAAAAGCGCGCGCTGGCTCTCCAGGCCTGGCCAAGGGGCCCTGCCTGGCACTCCCATCGAAGGATGGACTTGGCTTTCAGGATTCTTGAATCATAGGTGGGGGAAGTAGAGGAGGGCACAGGAGGATAAATAGTGATGGGAGGAGACTTGACTTGGGGTGATAAAGACACAACACAACATACAGATGGCGTATTACAGAATTGTAACCCGAAACCTATGTAATTTCATTAACCAATGTCACCCCAATAAATTCAATAAAAAAGAAAGAAAAAGATTCTTGTATCAGTTGTAGAAAGGCTTTTGCTTCTGCTTGGATGGGAGCAGGAGTCCGCCTGTGTCTGATTTCACCATATATTATTTAGCCGTCCTGGACAGCTTGCTTCTGGGAGGTGAAGTGTTCAGTTCAGACAAGAGTAAACCTGTCCCCTGGGAGGGTGGATGTAACTGGAGCAGGATCTGGGCTCAGCCACAGACAAAATTCAATACCCACAGGGGCGGTCAGGAGTGCTTGTCCCTCAACAGCCTGGCCCCATGGCCCAAGGTAGCTGTGTCACTGTGACTATGCAATATAATTCTTACTATGAAAATTCTAATGTAATTTGTACTATGAGAATTCTAGTATAATTCTTATTATGAAAATTCTAATATCATTCTTATTATGAAAATTCTAATATAATTCTTACTATGAAAATTCTGCATGGTCACTACTACCTGTGCCTCCTGCTGCTTTACAACGTGTCTCTGCAGAGATGACCTCACCTTGCCAGGTAAATATTAACACCTGGTTGTGGAAGAGGAGACTGAGGCTCAGAGAGGTTAAGGGGACTTTCTAACATTACCCATCTAATAAACTCCAGAGCCACGAATCAAACCTCTCAACCCCATATTGCTTCCAGAATCACCTATAGGTATATATGATTACTTTTTTCCAAAGAGCTCAGCGCTATTTTTGTATGAACTCCGTGATTCCCTGACCTATGGGCAGACAGGAAGTAGATGTATTGTACAAAAGGAAAAGGAAAAGAAATAAAGACACAATAGTGTTAGCTGGAAGCTGCTTTCGATTCAATAAAACAAACACTCAATGTATTTGACCAACACCTGTGCATTTTTTCAATTCAATAAAGCACATACTGTGGTGTGTTTGCAGGGAGCTAGGGATATAGTGAAGATAAATATCTTCTCTCCACTCCAGAGTTTATAATCTGGTGAGGAAAGCCGTACTCAGGCAACTAATCACACACAGTGTCGTTGGTGGGGCCCCAGTCAGGAAACTGAGGCTCAGGGGGAAGAAGTGGCTCAGTAAGGTCATGAGCTTCTAAAAATGGAAGATGAAGACCACCACGCGGGGCCCTTCGTCTCCCAGAGTCAACCGCCTCAACCGCCTCCGCGGTGTCTCTCAGGAAGCAGGGGGCATGCTTCGGTAGCATGGCGGCCATGTCGTCATCTTGCTAGTGGTTGCAGAGGGTCAACGAGACACTTGGGCACACCCTGCTGCCCAAGGTGCCCCGTCTGCGTCAGGTGTTGCGCTGCCCCTGGAGCGGCCTCTGGACCTCTCAGAGACAGCTTCAAAATCAATGTTTTTACCACCCACGCAGATTCTTTCTTCGTTTCTCTTCTACCCCATCCTGAGTGCATTCCACCAGAAGTGATCTTTTTGCGAGCATCCTGGACTCTACACACCAATATGATACCCGGCCCTGCCCCTGGGTGACACGCCTGTAGCTTGGGGTCAGCACAAAAATGAAATGCTCAAAGGCCCTACCCCGGCCCCCGAACACCCAAAAAAAAAAAAAAAAAAAGAGACAAGGGGTGGGTTCAAATCCTACCGCTGCCAATTACTTACTGGCTATGGGGTCTTGGGGTGTCGCTTAACCACTCCGTGCCTTAGTTGTCCCTCCTCGTCTGTACCTCACAGTTGTTGGGAAGATTAAATAAGCTCATATGCACTTAGCACCATGCTTGCCACAGAATAGAGCTGCATGAATGTTAACTATTAGTCCAGTGGGTGAGACCAACAAGAAATAAAGTAAGTTGTGATAATGGCCATGGCGTCCTGTTTCCAAAGAGTGTGAGATGGGGAATAACAGAAGAGGAGAGGTGGGCAGACAAAGACCTTCTCTGCCCAGGGGTGTCAAGGAAGAGCTCTCTGAGCAGCTGACAATGAGCTAGGCCCGCTGGGTGCCATGGGGCTGGTTAAGACAGGGCAGGCCAGGGTAGGGGCAGGCAACCCAGGGAGAAGGAACACGTCCCAAAGCCCTGAGCTATGAAAGCGTGTGGCCTATTGAAGGAATGGAAGAGAGACAATGGGACTTGGGGGAGCGGTCGGCCAGCCTATGGAAGGCTTTGTAGGCCTGGCAACGAGTTTGGGTTTTATGCAAAATGCAATGATTACGAGGGTTTTATGCAAGGAGGCGGTGGCTTTGATCTGATTTGCATTTCACGAAGCTTGCTCTGGAGAGTAGCTCGCAGGGACAGGCATGGTGGCTCATATAGATCAGTGTGGCCGTCTCAACCACGTGGTGGCGATGGAGATGGCGAAAGTCATTCCCATGGGCGATCTATCCTGGTGGCAGGATTGAGGAGCTTGCTGATGGGTTGGACCCACTCTTGTGGCCAACGTAGAAAGTAGACAAGACCTTGCTCCAAAGGGAATACTGAAGGCGGGGCGCCCAGTCTACCTCCTTGTGGGGCCCTGATGAATGACCACAGAGAACCCAGCCGTGGGACTTCAGTGCCTGTCACGCCATGTCCCACCAAAATTCTCAGGCTCCCCACGGGCTGGCTCAGGCCAGGCCCAGGGACTGACTTGGTTCCGTGAGTCCTAGGCAACAACCACAAAGGGAAGTTTGTTTCCGTTTCCCCAGGAGACGAGACCACAGTTAAATACGCCCAACTGTGGACAAAACAGACCTCACGCACATATAGAAAGACCCAAGGCCTGTGGGAGACAGAAATCAGGAGACACTGGGATCCACCCTGCTTCCTCCTCTTGTGGCCTCGCAGAGGGAAAGGGACTCTTAAAAATATCTAGGAACCAAGCATCCTTCCCTTACCTCTCTCCCTTCTTCAGTAATTTCTGGAAGAAAAAAAACCTTATCTTTGTTGACTAAATATTGTTAAAATGAACTAAATACTAGAGTAAACATGAGGCTTGCTCAATCCCATGAAGTGAACGGGACTGCAGGGGGCTGACCCCAAAGCCACTTGCTGTGTGCCCCAGTTTCATAGCTTGTAAATCTCTGCAGATCCCATAGCTGGTGGTGAAGGAAGGGTGTATAACAACTTATAGATTGTTATACAATCTCTCCCAGCAAGATGAATCTAGGGCAATAAAACATGCCTAGGGCTTGTTATTCCTAGGCCATGGATGAACTTGGAGAAAGGGCGAAACTCGTCCCTAGTTTCTGCCTGTGCAGTTACCCCCCACATGGCAGAAGCATTAGAGCTGCTTGAGTCTAGGCAGTGAAAATGGCCCCCCATTCTTCCTGCTAAAGCCCTTCCCAGGAAAAACCAATATCCTTCAGTCCTTTGGGAATTTGGAGTTGCATGTTCGCTTGGATTCTGCCTTGAGTGTGGGATTTGTCTTTCTCTTTTTAGCAACTAAATCCAAAGAAACATCACTGGACCCCTCTGGCAGCAGCCGCCTGCCAATCACAGAGCAGCAGGGGGAGCGATTCCAGTTCCCCAGGGCCCTGTCTGCACCTGGAAGAACGTTACCTGGGTGGGATCTCTGGGCGGCGGTCAACGAATTCTCGTAGCTGGATGGCAGACATGATGCATGGGATTCTGGGGGAAAAACGCGAAGGGTCACACAGCAAATTTATACACATCCCCAGGTGTGAGCTATCTAGAACTACAAAGACCTTCTTGGAAGTAGCAGACTATCTATCCATAGCTTCTGCTAGACTATTTTAAGAAATAGACTAGTAAAGGAGGAAAAAAAAAAAAGGCAAGCATAAGCCAATGCATTCAGATATGCTTTTCTTTAAAACAACAACAACAACAACAACTGTGTCAGTTGGGCACTTAGCTTCCCTTCTCATGCTTGTTAGGGTGCTTTCCCACTGCACAAACTTTCAGGCTGAGCACTACATTTTCCAGATTCCCTTGCAGCTAGAGTTCTGATATGAATTAGATTTCTCCAATCAGCTATACTTGAATGAGACCTGGAAGGTGGAAATGAGATTGAGGCCATTTCTTGCTGTTTTAACTTTTTCTACTGGCAAGCTGGAGTGTGAAGATAGGGCATGCGTTTTTTTGCAGCGGAACTCCATTGCTCAATCTCCGGCGTTGGAAGTGTCAAGAAACAATTGCATGGAAGGCGGCAGCTGAGCCCTGTGTTTGTGAGTGGGGAGAGGTGGCTGCAGTGGCAGTGGTGGTGGCTTTGGGAACAGGTTTTTTAATTCAGTTGTCCTGGAAGCAGCTTCCTGATTAGGGCATAAGTAGCTGCTTCCATGATGGTTCAGTTTATGGAGATGTTCTAGAACCTTCTTGGAGACCTTCCCCAGAGTCTGCCTCTCCAGCCCTCCCAATGATTTTGTGAGCATCTCAGTATCTACATCAAACCCCTCCTCTTTTCTGTACTGACCCTGAACTTAAATATATATATTTTTTCTGGTACAAAATTTCATATTGCATATGATTATCTACTGGAGAAGAAGACTTGTCACAGAAAACCACTACCTCTAAATATGCGCTTGAAAGCATCAACAACAGGGAGGGAAACTGAGTGTCTGGGGGACAAAAGAGGGAGAAAACCTTACTTTTTGCTCACTTGCAGTTTACCTTTTGTGCTCCTTACAAATGTCGTAGTACGTGTATGTATTATACATATACAGTTATACACAGCCTAACAACAGGGATATGTTCTGAGAAACACATGGTGAGGTGATTTTGTTGTACAAACATCATAGAGTGTACTTATACAGGCGTGATGGTACAGCCCAGCACTGTAACTGTATGAACTAGACTTGTACACAGCAGGCATCGTCGCAACCATGTGAGTAATGCATTGTGCCACAATGTCACTAGGTGGTAGGACATTATGATCTTATGGGACCACCATCATGTATATAGTCCATCATTGACCAAGACATCATTGTGTGGTGCAAGATCGTACAAAGATATCTGAGCCTCTGGTGAACATGAACGGGGCAAACAGCGTAGCAGGAACACACTGGATTGAGACCCACATGACCTGTGGCTGCAGGTACATGTCCCTTCTGAAATTCATATGCTGAAACCCTAACCCCAATGTGATGAATGGTATTAGGAGGCGGGCCCTTTGAAAGGTGATTAGGTCATGAGGGTGGACTCGTCTTGCATGGGATTAGTGTCCTTATAAAAGGCACCTAAGGGGAATCCCTAGCCCTCGTCCCACCGTGCAAGGTCACAGCAAGAAGTTCATCTTCCAGAGCCATGGGAAACAAATGCCTGTTGTTTATAAAACACCCATTTATGATGATTTGTTATAACTGCCCAAATGTACTGCGGCCCCTGACAATCACAGTACCTGCCTGGAGGGTTAAGCGAGGCAATAATGTACATGTGAGTGTTCTGCCATCTAAAAAGGCCTTTGAGAAGAGAGATAGGTGTTCTACGTGTGAGCATCTATTAGGCATTAGGTGATGTGTGTTAATGCACATTGACCTCCTAGCAACCTTGCGAAGTATTACCACTATTTTGCCAACAGGAAGTACTGAGAAGTGAAGTAACCCGTACAAAGCCACTGAAGAAGCAGGAGTGAAACCACTTGGCTGCAGAAACTTTGATCTTAACTGCAATTGTTATATTGAAAGTATTGAAAGAACCACAGGACAACCAGACCATCAGCCAAAATAAAACTGGGATGACCCGAAAGAAGCAGGAACCAGGAGGAAGAGGGGATTGGACGAAGGGTGTGATGCCTCCCTCTCTCCCCTTTTATAGCCCAAACTGGACTCATTGTGCACAGGCCAGTTAGCTGCTTCATTTCACCTCTGTTTTTTAAGCAACTGGAAACAGTTCAAACAAGATTACATTATAACAGAACAGTGTGGCAATCCAGTAGAGCCTGTTCATTATGTAATGTGTTTTTGCTTTTAGCACTGGTATGATTATAAACCAAAAAGAAAGGAAGAAAGAACCAAAGAGAAAACCTGAGCCGACACGACGGAGCTCTGCAGCAGCAACAAGCTGGAGAGAAGAATGCAAGACATTTGGGACACGTGTGCTCCTGACCAAGACAACAGCAAGTGTACCTTTGATGACAGGGTGGTTGCTCAGAGGCTACGAACTCCGAATCGGCACCGCAGCCCCAGGTCGCCATGCGCTGGCCACGCCAGAAGAACATTTTCAGAGGAACGCACAACAGCCCACAGAGTCTAAGCGGGAGCCCCCGGCAGGATCGGAAGGCCGTCTGGGAGTGGCCCCAGAGCCGTCCTTGTGCATATTTACAGAATTCCTCCACCACGTATGTAAGGAACACCAAATCTCACTTCCTCTGATTAGTTACCATCTTTCAAGCACCTAAGAAAATGTAGTTTGCAGTCAGATTTTTTTTTATTTTTTTATTTTGGGCATTTTATTTAAGTTGGGCTGAAAAAATAGATTCATAAGCATCACCAAGTACCCACTTTTATTAACCTATGTCACCCCAAAACATTCAGTTTAAAAAGAAAAAAATAGATTCACACACCAATTCTGAATGTGAGAACTATGAACCGACGTTAAACTAGCCATCGCCTCTGCACCCACAGCCAACACCCCACAACCTTTGTTCTGTCCACTGTGAGCAGCCAAAACTTCCATCTCCTTGAAAATATATACATGTACATTTTTAGTTGCCTTCTTAGACAATTCTTCCTCAGATGTGCCCCAAGTAAAATCCTTCCATGTGGGATTAGACCAGGAAACCTTAAACATTTTCCTTTTTTTTAAAAAAAGACCTGAAAACATAATATGATTAGAGTAAACAAAAAACAATTTGGGGAGATTTGGGCATCCTCCTGACTCTTATTTAGGGAAATTGCAGCCACTTTCATTAAGTAATGCTGGCTCATAAACCACTGCGGTTAGACCCCCCAGGGCACTGAAATTAAACTGTAATAACAGAATGTTTTATTGCGCTGATTCAGAAGGTGAACTAAGGTAAATGAGTAACAGATGCATTGCAACAAAGTTCCCCAGAGTTAGTATTCAACATGCTGACTTCAGAAACAAATATATAAGATTTATTTTGTCAATGTTCTCAGCAATTTTTTGGTATTACAGAACATCTTGTGGATCAAACCAGAATTCTATAAAATACGAGAGTATAGTCAAAAACCTGATAAAATCTGCCCATCGATGGGAAAATTTCTTAAGAAACCATGAAAGAACTTTCTCAGCCTGATGAGGAACATCTGAAAAGACCCACAGCTAACATCATACTTAATGGTGAAAGACTGATTTCTTCTTAAAATGAGGAAAAAAGCAAGGATGTTGCTCTCATGACTCCTAGTCAACGTAGCGCTAGAAGTCCTGTCCAGTGCAGTTAGACAAGAAAAGGAAATAAAAGGCACGTCAACTGGAAAGGAAGAAAATTGTCCCTATTTGCAAGTGACATCATTGGCTATGTAAAAAGTCCTAAGGAATCTACAAATAAACTAGAACTAATAACTGTTATTCATAAGATCACAGGATACAAGGGCAACATATAAAAAATAATTACATTTCTATACTTCCAATAAAACATTGGAAACAAAATTGAAAACACAACTGTTTACAGTGGCTAAAAGAAATAAATATTAAGTATAAATCTCATGAGACGTGTACAGCTCTGTACGCTGAAAACTACAAAATCCTGAAGAAAGGAACCAAAGGAGACCTGAGAGACGCCATGCCGTGGACTGAAAGACTCAACATAGTAAAAGTGATACTTCTCCAATTGTTTTACTCAGTACAACTTTCTAGCATGACTTTTTGTAGACAAGGATAAACTTATTCTAAAGTGTATTAAAACTGTACACTTGAAAGAAACTTAATGCAATTTTATTGACCAATAAATTTAATTAAAAATAAAATAAAATAAAGTTTACTTGGACAGGCAAGGACACTAAAATAGCTAAAACAGTTTTGAAGGAGAGCAACTGCACCCAGCAAGTAGGGGATAGGAAAGAACCAGCCCTCAGCTAACCTCTGTTACCTACCGGGCATTTTCTATATGTTATTTCATGTAACACTCACAAGAGTCCTGAGAGTTTATTACTATCCTGAATTTGTGGAAGATGTGAAATTACACATTTAAGCTCACACAGACAGTAAACAAAGAAAGCCAGAGCTGTCTGACGCCAAAGCCCACTGCAGTGCCACCGATGCATTGATTCACTCAACAAATACTTATTGATCAGCTCCCATTACGTGGCGCTGTGCCAGGCTCTGGGAAAAGAGCGTTTAGTGGTCCTGTTATTTATGTAGTGGAAGAGATGAGGTCAGACGTTACTCATAGAGTCACTCAAGTCAACGACATGCAAGCTCAGTAGCTGCTACCGCAGAATCCTTTAGCAAGTTCCCTCTCAGGGAGGTGAGGGGCTGTCTCGCACGCCCCCAGGCCCCCTTCAGACTTATAAAGAAAAAGGCTCTGCTAACAGATGTCACCTTTGTGTCTGCAAACCTGGACATTGTCCCTGACGGGAAGCTTTCTTCCCGGAGATGGGCTTTCCCAGGTTTAGAAAACATTTTTCAAAATTGGCATCTATTTTTACGCCAGGAAAGAGTTAAAAATAATGTTTGTTTAATCAAAGGTTGGGTCCTCCCCCTACCATATCAGATGGAACCAACAGTAATTACCTAGTAATCAGTTTGTGAACCTCAGTGATATGATAACTAGCAAGTTACCGTTTACTTAATGTGTCCAAAGAAGGGGCAGAGGCAGGATACTGAATGACGGTCTCAAGACTCTCATATTATTTACTTAGTAATTTTGGAAAAATTTGAGGTATAATCAGAGAGAGGCATTTCAACTGGTATATGAGAAGAAACAATTGATTTCGTAAATGTATACAGACCCGGGGTCCTGGGGGGCCCCCTTTCTTGAAGGTGTGGCATCAGTACTCAAAGTTTGGGGAAGTTGGGCCTGTGGGGAGGGCCACGCCCTAGCGACCTGACATGGCTGAGAAGGTTTGGGGGCAGGGCACTTTCCCAGCTGCCTTTGTTGTGAACTGGTGGTTAGAAAAGGGTTGTCAGTAACTGAGTTACTTTGAAAACGCTTTATTGCTTCTGTTTCCTCAGGAAGCCCATCTTCCCAGCTCAGGCAGGAGGGTTACCCACCGCTTCCTCCCCTGCGCCCTCCCCCAATCCTACTATGAATTCTGCTGCCTCCTTCTCTAGTCTAAAGTCCACCCGTCCCGCCTTCTCGTCTAAAGTCTACCTGTTTTTTAGGTGCTTGTTCAAGTCCTATATCATCTTCCACAGCTTCTCTGTTTTGATTTCCACATGGCCTGTTGCTTGCCTCTGAATTCCCAGAGCCCTTGATGAATTCTATTGTATTTTGCGTAGTGGTTTCTAAGACCTTTCGTCATTGGTTCATTGGTTTCTGGATTCATTTATTAATTCTATCATTGAAGAAACTAGTTAATGAGTGACAACTTGGGGCCAGGCTTGGTCAAAGCTCTAGAGCTTCTCCAAAGAAGGAGAAAGGAGTTTCATGCAGTATCTTGCCTCTCCAGCCGCAGCGTGAACTAGATGTTGGACCTGTGTTGTTTGCGTATCACTGGCTTCCCTCCCACAGTTCTTTCCTATCTCACTATTGTGAGAAGTGTTTCCCTTCCAAGGAAGGGCTCTGTGCATCCTTTGGAACGAATGGATAAATTTAAAAAACCCATCAATCCATCAACTCCATACCTTAGTAATCTAGTTAAAGGTTTTTAGGCTTTGCTCTGTTTGTATCATAGAGAACCAGATACCTTAATGTAGGTACACCCCGTTTCTAAGAAAAAAGAAACGTTGAGCTAAAACTATTCAAATTATTCAAATTTGAGAATGAATCTTCCCTTTGTAAAGGAATTCTTGGCTTTAGAAAAGGTTTGCCACGACATTCCTTGACATGGTGAGCTCCTGTCTCTGGAACATTCAAAATGCAACCAGCTACTTAGTAATGCAGCCGCGAGGTGGGAGGAGAGGAAGGTATGGGCACAGCAGCTGGGCTGCAGTTACCTGCTTGGGCTGCCGGGGGTGGAGATCTTCTTGCTTTTAAAAACCAGTCTTCTGAGGACAGCAGGCCGCCTCCTGGTGTTCCTTGTGCAGCATGGGCACACTGCTGGCTTTTGGGACTTGATCCCTTCACATCACTCAGAGGGCATTGTGATGCGTTCTGGGTTAAGAAAGCTCTGCTAGGTAAAGCCTTTCAGGCTTTGGGCTTAATACGAGTATGGGTCCTTTGGTTTCTATGAAAACCCAGCTGCACATGAAAGAAAAGGTGGAAATCAGAGTGGAAAGAAAAACCAGGTGGACAAATAATCCAGATGATTTAATCACTAGCGCTTCCTTTTCTACGAAGATTATTCCAAGGACACGGAAGGTCAACAATCCGGACAGTGCTGGATTGGCGCGTTCTGCCCTTGGCAAGTTGGAATTGAGGAAGTAGGGCTGGAACTAATTGGTGTGTGAGGCTGCTGATTGGCTAGTGACATCTAGGCTGGCTGCTCATGAAACCGAGTGTCCTTATGACTTTGATTAAATTTAGTTTTAAATCCCAGCTCTGGACTTCGTTTCCCTCTCTGTGCACACCCCTCAGAGACCTAGCCTTCCCCTCATCAACGGCCCCTCCCCTGCCCCCCAACCCCGCCCGAGAGAGCAGGAGACAGGGGCCGGACTTCTGGCAGGTTCGAGGGGCCACCTGGACCTAAGTTAGATTTCAGCTCCCGAGCCCTAAGGTGGACCGACCACCTGGCTACTTTCCCATGAGACCAGGCAGAGGGATGCGGGGATGGACCTCAGAGCCGTCTTCAAGGCCTGAACGGGTGATTCACCAGCCTGACCTCACCTCCGACCAATCGGCTCCCAGCACGACCTCGGATTCTAACTCACGATGTCTTGTGATTTTGCCTTATAGACTCTGCAACCTACACGCTATCAGGGAAGTAAGGCTTTTGGCATCAGCTTCCCGTTCTCCTGGGTGGCGCCATTCATAATGAAACAGCCAGCATTTCTCTGTTGCAATCTTGGCGTCTGGCGTTTGGTTCTGCCAGCGCCGCAGTCGGGTGAGCCTGGAACAGGCAGGGAGCAGGCCTGTGCTGGGGTCCTTGCCTGGGATGCTGGCCTCCAGGGCTTGCCGGTTACAATGCCCGGCGAGGTTTGCACGAGTGGCAGCAGGCTGGGTGGCCAGACCAGCGTTTGTCACACCTGCCTGTGGCTCTGTATCTAATCCTGGCCAAGTAAATGCAGCCGCAGGCGTTTTGTGCTGTCTCTGGGAAGTATCTTTAAAGAAAGCGGCATGGCCTTCTCCTCCCTGCTGGGATCTGAGCAGCTCTGAAGCGTGCATTAGGTTGGTAGAAGGGTGAGTTTGAAGGGGGCTGGCTCCCTCCTGATTGTGGAGCCACCAGAACAACCTTGGCTGTTCTCCTTTGGACTTTGTTTCAATAAAACTGCAGTGAGATTGTATCTTGTTGAAGCCGCCTCTGCAGAGCCAAACCCACATGTGTGCTGAGCAGGACGAGATCTACCTTTCTGAAGGGCAATCTTGTTTTTAAATAGGACTTTTCCACCTACTTGCCTTCCTTCATTCCTCTGTTGGAAAAAAAAAAAGTTAAGTATCGTATACCAATGTGCCTTCCCTTTTTACTTAGGAATGGACAGGAATTTGAGAACAAAACCAGGGGCACTGAAGAGTCAAAAGTCATTGTCACTAACGCCCTTTTTAAATCCCCAAGCCCAATGTGGCCTCTGAGAGGCAAGGACTGACTGACAACATGGATGTCCCAATGCAACCGGAGTTTGCAGCCATGCTTCAGCGCTAATAATAACCGCGGTAGGGTGTGAGCATTTGTACTGTGTTACGGTTGGGAACTTGTTTGTTTCTCTTCCCTTTCTTTGCAGCACATATGGAATGGCAGGCAAGTGCAAACATTTCTCCTTGCCTCCCAGGAGGCTTTGAAAATTAGGTCCAGTTTTTCTTTTCTCTTTTTGTTTTCATTTAATCTTCACTGCACTTTTCCTCATTACCAACTAGTCGGTCCAGTTTTCCCGACGGGCTCTGGTGGAGCCGGAGTGTAGTTTTTCACTTGGACTCTTGACTCCTTCACATGGCGTCACGGGGATGTGCAAGACTCCAGAGAAAATTGCCTGAGATGGAAACCTAGAACGTGGATCATCATAAAACTTAAAGATAAAGTTATATAAGAAGATAAAGAAATATTAAAAGTTATTTACATAAGTTTGGAACAAGGGTCATACTTGCTATATCACTTCCAGTTGCTGAGCTCTTACCACCAGCCTGGCATGGTCCTAAAGCAGTCTCTAAGATGATTTGTCTTAATTCTCACAATCTGATGGGGTGGGCACTGCAAAATCTACTTTGCAACGGAAGCACATGAGACCTGCAATCATTCAGTCACTTGTCTGTTGTTACACGAACCCGGGTCTGTGTGGCCCCAAAGGCCTTGCTTTGAACCGCCATTTTTCTCGGCCCGTGCGGAGCAGCCTTCGTGTGGCCGTGGCCGAGGGCTGGGCTGGCGCTCAGTGTGCAGCTCCCTGCCTCGGAGCGAGTCGACACGGGGCTTCCGTTTCCTCGTCTGACAGCGTGACAGCCCCGTGCCCATCAGCCGCGTACATCAGTGCCCCAGGGCCCAGGCCTTCTGCTTCTGTGGCTTCCCATTTTGTCATCTCATGTGATGGCTGATTAATGTGGAGAAAATTCTTGGGAGGAGTTTATTGGGGGAAAGAATAGGTGATATCAGGGAGTTTCTTGTGGAAAGGGAGGGGACTTCAGGTAACTCACAGTCCCTCCCCCATCCCGTCTCCCATAGAGACGCAGCCCTTTGTCTCGGAATTGGGTGACTCAGCACTTGTGAGGGTGGGCTCCCCTCCCCCCACCCAGGCTGAGATTGCCAGAGGAAACCAAACAATTCTTATTTACCAAACTGTCAAAATCCTATCATTGCAATTAAGGAGATAGGCAATTAACTGTGTCTTAATTACCGCAGCTGCCACTTCATCTGAATGCTGTAATTTACAGAGAGAATGGGAGGAGACTTTAAATTAATGTGTGTCTTTAAACAACGAAAAACAGTGATGGAGCCTGAAGAAAATTGTCAGTAGTGGTTGCGAGGCGCCCCCCTGGCCCCCCCGAAAGAGACAATGTGATGAGATGGCCGTTCGGAAAGCCACGATTTCCTGCGCCTCTGTTGCCGAATGGCTGCGTTCTTCATAGACGGCAGAGTGACACCAGTATTGCCTATTTTGTATACAATGCAACTGAGTGATTTCAATAGCAGTATCGTCTGTGCAGCCCTCTGCGAAGGCCATCTCGTTGTTTTGTTGTTTTTTTTTTTAAACTCATCTTTAGAACAAAGATATTTAAACCATCAGTCCAGGCTCCTGGACAAAGAAATAAGCTTTTAAAGTCAGGGTTTTAGCGGGTAGTCTGATTTGCATCTATACAGCTGACAGGGGAACCCAAGAGTTAAAGACCTTAGCTTCAGTCATAGTTGATAGGCTTAAGTGCTTAACGCTGGTATTCCAGGAGTGCCTGACCTAACTGACCCCCAGAGGTCAACAAGCAACTCAACCTCTGTGCCCCAGGGGTGCTGCCCACCATCAGATGGTATCTGTGTGCCAGGTGGGAACACGGATAAAGAATTGTTGACCGACAGATAAAGACGTGCTAGGAAAATCCACTGCTGGGTTGCAACTCTTAACCCGTTCACCTTTTTTTCTTTAAAGAAAGAGGCAGGCTTTTTCCTTTCTGCTCAAATGCTGGGCTCTGAGCAGCTCTGGCACCATGCCCCAGAAGCGTGCATTCGTTTGGTAGAGGGTGAGTTTGAAGAAGGATGGAAATGAGGAAGGTTGCGGGTTTGATCCCTGGTCAGGGCACATACGAGAAGCAACAATGACTGCACAAATACGTGGAACAACAAATTCATGTCTCTCTCTCTTCCCCCCTTTCCCCACCCCGCCTTCCTCTCTGTCTCTCTATAATCAACCAATAAAATTTTTTTAAAAAAGCAATTGAATGAGATTCTCAGGACAGAAAAAACATGTTTACCCAATGTCTACGAGGAGCCTGGAAAGAGACCAGGAGAGGAAAGAGAGAAGACTTGAAAAGAATTAAGGCATCTTTGAAACCCCTTTCTAAGGAGTCAGAAAACTCACATGCCTTGAATGAGGAGCCGGGCCAGTGTGTGTGTGTGTGAGTGGAAGTGGTCAGAGGACAGCAACGAGGTGTCCTGTGGATCGGGGCGGGGGAGGGGGTGGTGTCCAAGCCCCTGTGAAGGACCAGCCGCTCCTAAGCTCCAACCTGTTGTTGCTATTGTGGGGAAA